CCCCAAAACCCCAAAACCCCAAAACCCCAAAACCCCAAAACCCCAAAACCCCAAAACCCCGTGGTACAGATATAAAATGATGTGCTAATAAATTTTATAATAATAAATATGGATTTTCTGAAGTGACAGGATATTGGGTGTGAATCCCAGGCTCAATTCTATTTAAATGAAAGAAAAATGTGCATTTGCTCTGACGATAGAGATTCTAAATACTCCGACCAAGAAGCGACCCCTTTAGCTAGTTCTAATTCAGTTATAAAGTTTCTTAAAACTATCAACCAATGTATAAATGAACTTGGAAGGTTACCAAGGATCCAAGGAGATGCTACTTTAGAGAAAGAATTTGAAGAATTCAGCAATGATATCAAGAATCAAATTAATTACATCTTTCAAAAACTCAGCGATGCTTCTGAAAATAAGGAATACTACTTGTACAATATTTGCCTCAAAGAAGCACAGGATATCAAAGCTCTATTGCTAAACCATAATTTATTCTTCAAAGTCATTTCAGAAAATATCTGGGAAAATGCGTTCGATTTCGTGAATAAGCAGAATAATTCAGTGTTTGAATTAATTGAAGTAAAGAGTAAAGACTATCTTCTCAAGATTGTGAGGGATCATGAGACCAAGTTGAAAGAAGCCAAGACTGAGGTTGCCCATAAAGAGGTTACCCTTCAAGGTTAGTCTCTATATTCTAAATTAACTATAGAAAATAATACAACTATAGAAGATCTAAATAGAAAATGTAAAGAATACAAAGAGTCTCAGCAAAATTATGAGCAGACTCTACAGTATTTAAATGAAGCAAAAAGGAAATGGATAAAGTATGAGAGCAAATCCAAGAATTTATGGTATCTCACTATATTTTTAATGCTGATGATTATCGGAATGTTCCTTTGGTCAAATAATCGTTTGTCGTTAATCCAAGGTAAAATAATCTACCTCTATAACCTCAAAAATGGATGTGGAATTATCTCTGACAAAGTTTACAAAGATAACCTCTATCTTATCTCTAAGGTTTACTTTTGAATCCTTAGATAGATATGAGAAGTATCCTGAAAATATCTTTCATTGCATATTTGATGGATATTATCTTAATGCCAGTGAGAGATTTTTCTACAATTTATTCCTGGGCTGATATTTTGGAAATAGATAAAGATTTATTAGCACAAATGGAGAGAAAGAAATTAGTGCTCAAATATTTTGTTAGGTCAAATTAGCAAATTCAGAGTAGATTTTGTTCTCGGATATTTAAAAATATTAAGTTATAAATGAAGTGAAGCATATTAAAATTCATTTTTTAGAACATAGCAAGAGTTTAGAAGCTAGTTTCTTGAAGAGAGAAATATTCTTTGAAACTCAGTATCAAGAGAATATTACAGCCTTAAACCAAACACATTCATCAAATATTGAGAGAATGCAAGGATCTCATTTGAAAGATATCAGAGATTTAAAGGATGAAAATCAAATAAAGATTAAGGCATTAAACAGTCAAATTAAAAATCTTGAAATGCATATAAAGTTAAAGGATGACTTAATCAAACAGCTAAAATTAGCTAAGAGTAACACAAAACAAGAGGTTCTTGAAGTTAAGAATGAACTTCAATTGGTTAGTAACAGATTATATGAAGCAATTGCAACGTATTCTAAAGAAGAAATCAATGTTCTTTCAAGAAAAATCACTGGAGAAGATATATACAATGTATCTTTTTCCAAAATTGAATTCAACTTTAATAATGAAAAACATCTAGCACTTTTGGAAGCAATTGATAAAAAATTTCCTGATGCGAGTGTAATATATATTGATAGCATTCCTTTGAATAATAAATATGTTAAACTCTTTTTTGAGTTTTACTTTCCAAAAGAAGTCAGTTTTTTGCATTTAAACTCACTTGCTATTTCCAAAAGTCAACTTGAATTTTATATGGAGGAACTTCGACTCATTTCTCCGAGAATAACTACAAGCATCTTTCTTTATAAGTTTGAAGTGGATCAGCAAAACTTAAAGACTCTTCTCTCAAGGTACATGCATTTAAATTGGTTTGAATTTAACAACTGTGGCTTTATCGTCCCTTCAGTTGTTGACTTTAAAGACACTCTTATTGGAAGTAAACTACAGCATATAAGTTTATCAAATATTCCCAAAAAGTTCTATTTATCAAAAGATAGCAAGCCCTCCCACTTCGAAAATCTACTTAGAGGTTTATGGAAATCTCAAGACTTCAAGATGAATTTTGATGCATTTTGGATAAGACATTCTGAACTAACTACAAAAGAACAAGAAGAAATTTTACGAAAGCATGGACTCACAGATGTTAAAATATATTTCTAAAGATACCAAATATATACTTAAGATGGAACTCATCAATTTTTAACATCTGGTTTCATTCTGCAATTTTGGCTTAGTACCACCAAAACATTTTATGGCTTGTTCCTTTCATCACACCTTGGAGATCTAAACTTCTTATGAAGAGATCACTCTCTTTAATCGATGAACATTGATTTTGAAAGTTTCTATGCGTATTTTTTTCAAAATTCTCCAACTGTAACCTCATGAGTGCATCAAAATAAGGATAAATATTTGAATAGGGTACACACTGAGACCAAATCGAACACTCATCAACCTTCTGAGGAAAAGAGTGGTTTAAAAGGTCAATAGTTTCTTAATTTCTCATTTGTACATTGATCAAATCAAATCAATAGATATTAAAGGATTTGTAGGATAGAATTTTCTTAATAAAATTAACATCTCTTTGTTTTCTAAAATTCATTTGTAAATCTGTGTGTAGAATTTCACTGCGACAATCTGGATCTGAGTCTTCTGGTTCCAAAAGATCTGGATAAAATTGAAAATAATAATCCTGAGAAACTCTTTTCTCAAGTGTATCACTTTTATTAAGAATAACTTTCTCTACCCTATAAAAACCAAATTATCAGACATTGTCTTCAGACTAGAAAGCCAGGATAATCATTTAATGTTCTTTCAGAATTTATTAGAAATGGGTCTTGAAGGTCTAAAGCTTCGGCTAACCTCTAAATTCATACTAAAAATATGAGCGATTATCATAACGGGGAAACTGCTCGTAAACTATTCTTATTCTTCCATCAAAACTCATGTGTAGCAAGATAGTGACATATTACTCCATATTTTAATTTCGAGGGCTTCTTCCGATATTTATATGAACTTTATTGACATTAGAATAAGCATACACTATATTTCTGACAATGGGAAGCACTATGGATACTAGCAAGGTATATAAATTACAAAACATCGGCACCAATGGCTATCTAGATACCTATGGTGGATACGATAGAGCACCTGACAGCCCTTGGCACAATGGCGGCAGAGTCCAAATCGGCAATATTGATGTTGAAGGGCATCATAAGCACTGCACCAATCAATTGTGGAAATTAGTTGATTACGAAGATAATAAGTACAAGTTACAAAATGTTGGCAATGGAGGTTATCTAGACACATATGGTGGATACGAAAGAGACCCTGGAAATCATGATTGGCATTATAATGGAAGAGTTCAAATAGGTTATGATAATGTTAGTCCCCATCATCACTGAGAGTTTAATAATCAAACTTGGAAATTTATTGACCAAGGAGATAGCATATACAAGCTAGAGAGTTGTATGGGAGGTTATTTAGACACTTATAGTGGTTATGATAAAGAATCTGGCGTACATGACCACTCGCACCACGGAGGCAGGGTCCAAATCGGGAAAGTCGATTGTACCCCTGATGATGAAGTAGGCTTTGCCAATCAAACTTGGAGACTCATAGAATGAGGAACTGTAGAGGATTATTATTCCAGAGTAAATGAAACAAATTGGATGAAGGCTGTTCCTGACTATGTTAACATTAGTGAATTATCAATCCTTGGGACTCATGACTCTTGTGCTCGCCACAATGGTCATTCATTCGGTTTTGCAAAATGCCAAGATAAAGGTTTGAGAGAACAACTAAACAAGGGAATCCGTTTTATTGACATCAGAGTAAAACGGACAAAGAAGAAAGGGTTATGTGTGTTCCATGGTGAAGGTTGGAAAGGCAAAATACCACTCTTTGTAGATCAAGAGAAACATTTTCGTGAAGTCCTGGAAATTTGTCATTCTTTTCTCAGTGATAACCCAAGCGAAACAATATTGATGTCTCTGAAAGAGGAGGATGTGTTTAGTAATTTGGATGATTTTAAGCATCAATTCAACACTGCAGTTAATCGTATGGGCGAATCTCTAGCTGGGAGATTTCTTGATAGTACATCTTCTCCTATATTAAAAGATGCAAGGGGCAAAATTGTTCTTTTTAAAAGAAGTGGTACACAACATGTCGAGATTTCAGGGATAGATATCACTGATTTTGAAAATAAATGGAGACCAAACCCAGGTGAAGGCAAACTTTGGTATAATGTTAGTGACAGATATGAACTTTATTTTAAAGGCTTTAATATGAATGATAAGAAGGAGGCAGTAAGAGAGCATATTCAAGCTGCACTAGACCATCCAGGATCTATTTTCTTCACCTTCTTGAGTGCTTTTAAAGGAAGCCCAGTTATTCCTGGTAGTCTAACCCCTAATGAGGTTGCGAATAGCAAAAACGGAATGAATTTATATGCAACTAAGCTATTTTATCAAATGACAGATGATTCTTTTGGTTTTCGGACTCCTTCTGTTTCTAGAAAATTTGGTATCATAGCAATGGACTTCTTTGGTGATATAATGCCTCATCCACGTTCTCGCCATTATCGCCCAACATGTGAAATGGTCGCTCGCATAATAATCTCAAATCCTGGAGTCTCTTCATGGTGGTAGTCAGACAAAAGTGGTTATGAACTCTATTTGTATAATATGATGAAATATTTAGTGTCAACCAAATTAATTGTTCATGGGGTTTTGGGGTTTTGGGGTTTTGGGGTTTTGGGG